TTCATAAAATCAGTGTTATCTAATATAAAAGAACACAAAGCTCCGATATGACAAGAATGACTTCATACTCTCATCCACCAATCTTTTGGACAAAACTCAGCAAAAATCATCAGAGTGAAGGTAAGGTGCAGATCAGTGAACTCAGCAGATATCTACAGAACACTCCGTCCGTCCACTACTTCAGCATGCAAATTCTTTCAGCAGCGCATACAACTTTCACCAAAACAGGTATTTTATGCCACAATGAAGTTCTGAACAAACAAAAGAAGCCTCAAATAATTTTTTGTACTACCAGATTATAACAGACTTAAAGTAAAAACCAGCAGCACGAGAAATTACAGACTGAGAAATCCACTTTTCCCCTCTCTCTAACAATTCATTTTTGAACAGTCAGTGAGCCATTGAAGAAATCATGGCCAACATTTAAAAATTCCTAGCACAAAACGCAATGGAAACAACACACTAGAATCTCAGGAATAAAGTGAACTTGTTTCTTATTTTTTGATGCACAATAGCTGAGGGGTCAGTCACCACTGGGGACCAACCACCCTCTCCCACCTCTGGGACCTTGCTTGAATCAAAAAATAAGAGATATCTAGTAAATAAATCAGAAAATAAGAGATATCTAGTAAATAACCTAACAATGCACTTAAAGGTCCTAGAAAAAAGGGAATAAACCAAAAAGAAGCTCACTAAAAGGAAATGAATAATAAAAAATCAGAGCTGAAATTCATGAACCAGAGGCTGAAAGAACAATACAAAGGATCAATGAAACAAATAATTTTCGAACAGATAAGTAGATTGATGAGCTCTCAGCCAAACTAGCACAAGAGAGAGAAGCTCCAGATCAACACAGTTAGAACTGAAAAAGGGGATGTTACAACAGAACACTAAAGTCCAGAGCACCATCAAGAACTATGCTGAAAACCTGTGTTCCAATAACTTTGGGAGTCTGGAAATGGATGAAGTTCTAGACACTCATGAACTACCAAAATTGAACCAAAAGGATATAAGATCTCAAACTGATCAATAACAAGTAATGAGATGGAAATAGTAATAAAGGGGCCCCAACAGGGAAAAGCTCAGGGCCAGATGGATTCGCTGCTGAATCCTACGAGACCTTTACAGAGGAAGTCACGGCAATGACGCTCAGATTATTCTGGGAAATAGGGAAGGAACAGTTTCAGTTTCATTCTATGGGGCCAGAATTCCCCTGATACCCAGGCCAGGTAAGGACACAGCAGCAACAAAAAATATAGATCATATCCTTGGGGAACACAGCTGTAAACAATCCTTAATAAAATACTTACCAGATTCAAAGGCACAGTCAAAAGATGATATACCTGGAGTAAGCCGGTTTTATGCCAAGAACGGAAAGCTGGTTCGAAGTATGCAAATCAATACATATAATAAGTCACACACAAATAGGATCAAGGGATAAAAATCACAATTAACTGATACGGAAAAGCTTTGACAAAATTCAACATCTCTTAATGATAGAAGTCTTGAAAAAACTAGGAATAAAAGGATAAGAAAGGCTATTGCTGTATAATAAACTTATAGCACCATCATTCTGAATGAGGGAAGACAGAAAGCACTCCCTCTGCAGTCGGGAATGAGGAGAGAATGTCTACTCTAACGACTCCTGTTCAATATCACATTTAAAATGAAGAAAGAGCAGGAAGGAAAGTAAGAAATAACAGGATGCACGTAAGAAAGGAAAATGTCAAATTATCCTTCTTTGCCGATGGCATGATTCTGCCTCATCCAATCAGAGCGGTTATCATCCAAAATGCAAAGAGCAGGCCATGCTGGTGAGGACGCAGAGAAAGAGGCACCCTTCCGCATCTTCACTGAGAATGTAAATTAGTGCAAGCCCTCAGAACACGGTGCAGGATAGAAATCAGTGTAGTTTCTTCCAAACTGCAGACTGAACTAGCACGCGATGGGGCTTTAGCACTCCTGAAAGGATTCGAGTGCCAGGTTCACTGTGCACAGTCACAATAGCTGACGGGTCAGTCACCACTGGACACCAACCACCCTCTCCCACCTCCGGGACCTTGCTCATGACACCCACGCGCAGCCTTGGCCCTGTCCTCTCCTGCCGTCCTGCAGGTCATGGCTTCTGAGCCACCGGCTGAGACAGACTCGGCCAGGCCCTGGCTGGGAAAGCCCCCGCATGAACCCTCAGTGCCCAGGAAGCTTCTCCTGCTGGTCTGCTAATTAAGTTTGGCTTTTGGGCACCAACCCCACTCCTGTGCCCTTCCTGGATTTTTTCCCCTTTTGGAACATTTAATTTAAATTTTTTTTTTTTTTTTTTTTTATTTTGAGGCCCTTGTGGATTTTCAGGAAAGTTGTGCTGACACTGAGGAGCATTCCCATTGGGCATCTCCCACTCCCCCGAGGTGAGCACAAGCATCTCTGGCGACCCCTGAGCATGCAGCCAGACTAGGAAAAGAGCCATGTGACAGCTGGAGTGAAGTGGGTTTCATCACTTCAACACAGCCCCATGTCACCCTGGTCACCACGTCTCCCTGTCTCCTCCAGTCTGCAGGCGGCTCAGGTGTCCTTTCCGTCCCCGACCTGACTCCTGAGTGACTGTCCCTCTGATTGGATGCGGCTGCTGCTCCCCATGACTAGATGGAGCCTTGAGACGGGGCAAGACCGTGTGGCAGTTCTCCTCCCCTGCTGCTGGGTGACATCTGCCTCTGTGCCTGGGCCACGGGCCTGCCCGGCAGGAGACGTGACCGCCTTTCACTTCCTGTGCAGTGCCTGGCTCACGGTGGACAGCCAGCAAACATCTCATCACAGTCTGCCATCCCACATTTATTCACTTGTTTACCTGGTTATTGCCCAGGCCGGTGTCTGCCGGGCTTCCCACCCTAGCCCGGCACTAAAAACATGCCTGATTTCTTCACCAACAGTCTTTGAATTGTGATTTGACTAAGCCCACAGTCATAGCTGTTCACTGGAGTGGGAAGTTTTTCCTAGGAAGAGCAAGGTCAGCCTCTCCTTTGGGTCTTTGCAGGGAGAGATGGGAAAAGCGGCTCTGGTTCTGGCTTTTTTTGTTGGTTTTTTTGGTAGTACTAGGGATTAAACCCAGGGCCTTCACACCGTGCTGTATCCCTAGCCCTATTTATTTATTGAGACATAGTATCTCTTTAAGTCACTAAATTACTCAGACTGGGTTTGAACTGGTGATCCTCCTGCCTCAGCCTCCCTGAGGGCTGGGATTACAGGTATGTACCACCACACTCTGATATCTCTGGACTTCAGCAGGGCATGATTTCTCTCCATCTGGTTGCAGCTCACCCAGAGGAAGAGTTAGAATCTGTGTGGCCAGAGGGCAATAAAAATTGGTTTTCTAAAACTAAGAATGAATTTGGCAAGAGCTTCAGGAAGTCAAAACTTTAGGTGATGCTACGGGCTGCATTGTGCTCCCTCCCAAACTCGGGAGCTAGGGTTCCAACTCCTGATCCCTCAGCATGTGACTATATTTGGAGATGGAGCCCTTAAAGAAATGGTTTGGTTAAAGTACAGCCCCTATTTAAATATAACCAGTGTCTTGATAATAAGAGAAAATTTAGATACAGACCCACACAAAGGTCGCAGGTGGCCACCTAAAGCCAAGGACAGAGACCTCAAAGGAAGCCCGCTTGACTTCCGGTCTCCGGAAATGTGAGCCAATCAATTTCTGTTGCATAAGCCTCCCTGACCCAGACTTGGTTATGGCACCACTAAGAATGGAATTCAGAGGCTAAAATGAAGGTCCCCAGGGAAAACCGAAGAAGCCCCAATAGTACCAAACGTTGGTGAGGGCGGGGGAAAATGAAGTCCCTGCATTGCGGTGGGAATGTAACCTAGTGATACTAGTATGAAAATCAAAATAGAGGTTCCCCAAAAAACAACCCAGATATTCTATTTGACCCAGATATTCCCCTTCTAGGTATTTCCCCAAAATAGTTAGAGTTGCCATATTATAGGGGTACACACATGCCTATGCTTACAGCGGTACAACTGCTGATGGCTAAATTTTGGAAACAGTGTATATGTCCATCAGCAGGTGAATAGGCAAGGAAAATATGGTATTTATGCAAAATGGAGTCCTGCTCTGCAGCAAGAAGGACAGACTAGAGGCATTCATGGTTAAATGGGTGTAGTACTTTGAAAATAATAATACACTATGTATAACTATGGTTTTTCTCTTATTAGTTCACTATGAAATTTTGGGGTGTTTTTCCATTAAAAATTAATAAAAAAGAAAGGAAATTAAGAAGCTTGCAAGGGGGACTGAGGCTGAAACCCTCGGATACTAGACCCCGATCTCCATCACAGAGCATGTAGCTGAGCTGGTGACCAGGGCCATGCCCCTCACCCACCTGTAAACAGACCATCTGGTGTAGGGAGCAGCTCAGAATGGCAGCTGCTGCCCTGCCCCTCCCACCTGAGGGCATGTTGTGTGTCAGCGTACATTTGCCATGATCCTCCCTTTGCCTACAATGCGCATGACGTAAGCAACTTCCTGCTTCAGCCTACATTTCCCATGATCCTCATGTCTGCCTACATTACCCACAATCCTCTCCTGCTTATGCCATATATCCAGATGTGTTGATGACCTATCAGATAACACTCCGTTCCCTCTTCCTGCCCCATTGGCCCGCCTCCACCCTATAAAAGTTGTAGCCATTTCAAGAATAAATGAGACTCGATTGGAATCTCATCCTGTCTCCATCTCTCTTTTCTCTTGCCCTGCCCTTCATCCCCGTCCATTCTCCAGGCGAGGCCCAGGGACCGATCCATGGGACGGATCAATCTGGTAACCACCAGACCTCTCTGGGCCTGGTCTTCCCTGTCTTTATAGCAGCGGTTTCTGGCCCTGTGCGGTCTTGCAGGGTGAATGTGAGCATCCAGGTGACATGACCCACACCAGGTCTGGATCATGGTAAGCACTCGTGCCTCCCTTCCTGGAGCTGCCTCCATAAAGACAAGGGTACCCAGTCTTTGCAAAATGCTTTATTGTAGAAGCTAACATAAAATTCAGCAGGTTAGCCATAGTGTCTGCAATCGACCCTCTATGGTTGGTGTAGACCTCAATTCTCTCACACCAGCCAGGCCCAGAAGGTTACAGCTTGATTTGTGGGATGGCACCATCCTGCACTGGGACAAGTCCAACCTGATGCCCAACTGCTTCACTTAACTCCTGACTGTACTGAAATTGACCAGGGTTGGCACAAACAGGCCCACCTCTTAGTGACATCCAGGGACCTTGAATGGGAACCTTGCCCTGATCCTTGGCTGTATACATGAAGAAGAGGTCCAGAGAGAGACAGTGCTATGCCAGTGCCACACAGTGGGTTACAGCAGGGACAATGGCTCCACTGCACACCTCAATCCAGTGTTCTCCCCACACCAGGATGAACTGACAGCTGGGGTGCTCACAGATGGGAGACCAGGCTTGCAGAATGCTTCCTGGTGGCCCACACCTGCTGGGATCATGCTGTCACAGGGGTTTTTGAGCACTAGACTCAGCCTCAGGGACTTGGACTCTGGGCCTGTAGGTGTTGCTAATATGCTATGTGAATGTGGGCAGGTGAAAGCATCCTGGATTTTCTGGGACCTCTGTGCTCATCTCCACTCCAAGCCACCTATGTCTTGCAGCTGAGTGACAGGCTGTGATCACCAGCTTATTGATCTTCTTAGGATTACTTGACACCTCTTTAGTAACTAAATCTAGGTAAATCTCTAGCTACCAGCAGACAGGCAGGCTAGAACACAGCTCTGCCCCTACCTGGATCCACGCAGGCCTGTGAAAAGGCCCTACCTCAGGGCTGGGCCACTTTGCTAAAGAAGAGGATGTTCATGTTCTCCACAATGACTAACAGAAAGGGCCTATTGAAGAAGATGGTCCTGGAGTTCGGATAGGCTGATCGGAAGCTGAAGACTGACCCAGTGCCTGACGCCGCCCTGGTTCCTGACTCGTCCACCTCCACCACAGCTTTGTGCACCACCTGTGGGAGACACCAGGCATCACAGAGCTGCCAGGGGTCAGGAGAAGGCTCCAAAGCAGACAGCAAGCCTTCTGCCTGTGAGCACCAACGCCAAACCATCTGTGCCAAAATAAGCCACAGAACAGGAGGAAAAGGACCCTCAGATGGTTCCCCTGTCCCAGGTGCCATGCCTGGAGCTGCCTGCACAGGTCGGTCGTTCAGTTCTTGTGATGCCTCAGAGTGAGGCGAGATTCTCCACCTCTCCAGATGGCAGAAAGGAGGCTCTGAGGCTCAGTTGTTTGTTGGAGAAGCAGCTACTTGCCAGAGTCTGAGTTCTGACTGCTTAATACAGGGCCTCCCCATCTCCCCTCAAGGTACCATAGAGAAGGAGGTGGCAGAGAAAAGAAAGGAGGAGAAGGGAAAGAAGAGGAGAGGATGGGAGGGGAGGGGAGAAAAAGGCAAGGCGGGCAGGGCGGGGCACAGTAGCTTTGGGACCCACCCGAGACAGCTTGACTTCGGAGTGCTTGAAGATGCCAGACAGATTAGCATTGCTGGTGAAGATGTCCCTGATGCCCAGCTTGGGGAAGAATTTCTCCAGGTGGTAGGAACCCTCAATGGAGAACTTGGGGAGATAAAGTTTGAGGCGCCTGGGAAAAGAAAAGAACCTTTCTTGGACTGAGCATTTACTAGACTGAGCATTCCAGTCACCTCCCCTTGGCCGCTCACACTTGCTGGCTCTCTGTCTAGGAAGGCGTTCCCTTTGGCCTGGGTTTGGGCTGACCACAGGGGTGCCACATAGAGGTCTTAGCTTCCAGCTCTGGCACCCTCCCCCCAACTGGAGGTCTCAGGACCTCGTGGGAAGTCTCTGGGTTTGGAGAGAGTTCACTGGCTGGGTAGGTCCTTCCCTCCATCACTGTGTGGCCCAGGGCATGGGTCTCCGGGGCGGGGTAAGGTCTGAGGAGTACCTCTGGGTCAACATCTCAGTCCACTTCTGCAGCTTTTTCTCCCTTAGATTATTCTCCACCTGCTCCATCTTGCCCTGGTTGGGGAGAATGAAGTAGGCGGTGGTATTGCCTTCGTAGGGGATGCCCACCACTGTGCAGGAGAGCTCCTTGTCTTGGAAGTAGAAATACTGATCCTCGTGTTTCATCATGGGCACCTGTAGCTTCTTCTTCCGGGTCACATAGAAGTCCTGATTCTGAGTTGTTTTGTTGTTGAAGCCAATCTCCCACTTAGCTAAGGAGGAACACGGGGTGAGGAGAGGAAGAGAACTGTGCGTAAGAATGAGAAATATTTAGCTGCCGATGAAGAGAGCCGGGCATGAGCAGAGTCACAGAGAGTTCCTTTTTGGGGTGGCCTCAGCAGCGGGGATCACCTGACCCCTTAGCTGCCAGGGCCGGGGCCTTTCCTGGCCTCCTGTCTTACAAAACAAGAAAACTGGCTTTCAGGGCTTCGGAGACTGGATCTCTACCGCTCTTTGATTCTCTGATACTATGTAAGGCCAGGCATTCAAGTGAAGAGGATTTCAAAAATATACATGGCTGAGAATGCTACCTGACCACTGCTCTGTTCACCTTGTTGCCCGCACTGGACTCTCGTCTAGGTTTGGGAGGGAATGTGTAAAGGCTCTGGAAATACATGAGCTTTGCTGTGGAGTATTTCTTTGCTTGTGTTTCCTTTCCTAGCTGCTTCCTAAGTGCATGTCTCATCAAATCCCTACAGGAGACTGGTTTTGAGTTCTTAATCCTAACCAAGGGTAGATTCCCCACTCTGCACCTGCTGTCGTGGGGTTAGCTCTGGACTGGAATCCAAGTTCCACCCTCACAGCTGTGGCCTGTGCTCCTTCCCTTCCTGGATTCCTTCATGAATATTGCAGCCCCCAAGGCAATAGTGTTAGGAGACCAGGCCTTTGGGAGGCAAGTAGACGGTGGGAGCAGAGCCCCTACAATGGGATTAGTGCCCTTATAAGAGGGTCCTCAGGAACCTTGTGCGTTCTTTCCAACCAGGGAAGATGCAGCTAGAGCTATAAATCCAGTAATTTGGCCTGGGAATTTAAACTTTCCAGCATCTAGAACAGAAAGAAATACATTCCTGCTGATACAAGCCACTCCCGTTTCTGGTGCTTTGTTAGAGCATCCCAAAGGCACTGGAGACCCTCATCCTCTGTGACAGCAGGAATGGGTCTGGTGCTAAGGATTTAACTCCCTCTCCTGTCCCTTCAGCCTTCCCCTCTTCCTCCACCCTCGCCTTCCTCCATCCACACTTCCCTTGGGCATAGGGCCCCTGGGGGCCACTCTCTGGAGGGACATGGGAGCCGCAGCGAGTGCCTGAAGCTGGAGATCAGTCACACGTGTAAGGCTAGAGCAAGGCCAGCCCTGAGAACATGGAGAGCCCAAAGCTGTGCCAGCTCCAAAAAGCCTAGAGGCCCAGGCCAGACAGGCAAGCAAGTCACTGGGCAGTGGGGTTGAAAGTGATAGTGTCCTCCTGCACAAATAAAGGTGCTTTGGTGACTTGGCAGTTTCTTTTCTCCCATCAGGAGACCTCAGCTTTCCTGTCTTCCCTTTATTTTCCCATCCTCTCGCTGTGCCCCATCCCCACCCAGAAGCATCATGAACTGGGCTGATACTGATGCCCAGCAGGGAGCAGGGCATCCACAGGGGATGCTGGGAGACACCAACCAGGCTGCTCTCACTGAGGAGCGGGGAGAGGGAAGCTCGGCAGGACAGTCAGAGCCTCAGGACAGCCTAAGACCCTAGAGGGCAGTGGGGCCAAAGATGAGGGTAAGATGGGGAGTTGGAGGGCCCTCCTACCTCCTGTGCTCCTGCCGTGAGTGGCATCTGGTGTGATGGCCTCAGCAGACTCCTGCTTCCCCAAGATAGGCAGGGGCATGGGTATGGTTTTGATCCCAACAGCAGAAAAGAGAAAGAGAGTACTGGGCTCACCTTTAAAGGAAATGTAATTTACCATCACCGTGATGTCAGTGCTGTCAAGGCTCTGGATCAGGTCTGCAATCTTGCCCTGGGTTTGCCTGGCCACATAGTCATTGATCTGCTTCTGGGCTGCTGCGGGGTCCGTGAAGTTGGCCGTATAAATGTCAGCCAGGTACGTGTCCTTTATGGCAAGCTGGAAGACGTTGTCGATGTCCAGCCCCTCACTGATGAAAAGGGCGTTGCCGAGGTTCAGCTCGAAGCCATTTCTGGGGCTTGTGAGCTCCGCCAGCTGACGCTGGAAGCCGTAGTGGAACTCGGCTGCTGTTTGGCGCTGGGGGTTGAAGCCCAGAGCCTTCAGGATCTGTGCCTGGGTGTTGCCTTTGGCCCCCATGGACAGTATGGCCAGGATCGTGGACACGCTCAGCGGGGAAAAGATGACGTTCTGGCCAGGGGAGGCAGAAGCCAGGCCCCTGTACAGCTCCAAGGCAAAGGCCCTGCCACTGGGCTCCCCAGGCTGCTGCTTCTTGGCCCGGAGGCGGCGGAAGGGGGCGCCCTGAAGGCTGAGGGAGGTCAGGCACAGGAGCAGAAAGAGCTGCATTGCTGCTGCCGGGTCCTGAGGGGACAGTGGGAAGGAGCTCTCAGAGAGGATGCAGGCCAAAGGGAGGAAGAGAGCAGTGAGCCAAGGGAGCTGTCCCTGCTTGTCACCCATCACAACCCCAAAGGGGATTGGGGGCACCCATGACGTTGCAGGTGAGGCTTGTGGATGGGGACCTCTGTGGAGGGGAGAGAAAGGAGAAGGCAGAGCCATGGAGGCCTGCAGCAAGGGCCCGGCCACCAGACAGGAGTCGGCCCCTCTTGTCCACACTAAGGCTGAGCCTGGGGGCCAGCCAGCGCTTGGATTCTGCCAGTCCCCGTCCCTGAGGTTGCCAGGCAGCAAGGAGCTGCCACCCTGTGTGGCCACCCACCGTTCCCTCTGCCCTGGTCCAGCCCTTGGCAAGGCCCTGTGGTCCCATCAGCACCTCTGGCTTTGTTCTGGGGAATTCGATGAACACACAGTGAGCAACCAGAATGGGTACCTGCTCCTGGGGCTGTCCCGGGCCACTCCTGTCCCTTCCTAAGGAACTTGCCCTCTTCATGGGAGCATCTCAGCTGCCCTCCTCTTCCATTAGGGGCTGCAATGTGTCCTTCAGGATTGCTGTGCTGAAACCTTCACCCTAACTTCTCATCATGGGACCATATTTGGGAACAGGGCCTTTAAAAGGCACCACCTGCAAGCCAAGCAGACCTGCCTGCCTGACTCTGACCCAGACTTCAACTGCAGGCCGTGAGACCCATCTAACGTCCTGCTCAGGGCCACTCAGGTGGAGCTGGCCTGTCCTGGGCCTTCAGTGCCCCTCTCCTCTGCCTCCTGCCTCCTGCTCCACCCTGGACCTTCCCCGGCCTGTGCCACCCCAGCCAGCCTCAGCCAGGGTCCTCTAGCACCAAACCCCTTAGTGGTGAGGAGCCTGCTGCCTGGGTTCGAATCCCAACCCGCGTGACCTCACGTGTGCTTTGGGGATGCCAACACTTCCGGAGCACTTTCCCACCCAGGAGACAGGGTGGTGGCAGCACCAACACAAGGGGAGCTAGAATAAGGCTACCACCACCAGTGAGGTGCCCAGCCCTGCCCTGTACGGAGCCCATGTTATGGAGCTGGGGGCATCAGCTGGCAGCATCTGGCCAAACTCCATCTGACACGCCATCTCCTTAGCCTTGCCATGGGCGCCAGCTTCGCACATGCTCTCCTCGGTGACACCCCAATCTGCAGCTCTTGGAGTGTCTCCTCTGTCCCTCCACATGCACCCTGGCCTCAGTCCCCAGGCCCAGGTATGCCAGGATGGCCTGCTGTAGTCACGTGATGCAAAGCAAACCAAACCCCAGAGGGCCCGCTGGAAAGAGCTGCACTGGAAAGGACAGCAGCTTGGCCTACGAAAGGCAGGCCCTGGGACAAGCTGGGCCCCAGGTCGGGCAGCCTGAGGCTGCAGGTATATGGCGTCTGCATGGAGCTGCGTGGCTTTCACGCAGACCCTCCCCAGCCCTGGTCTCCAGACAGCACCAGGACTCAAAGAAGGAGGCTCATGGACAGCACTCTGTCTGCAGAACCTGAGGACACCGGGACACAAATGGGCAGCCTCTGTGATCACCAGCCACGCTCTGCTCAGCCCTGGCTGCCTTCACCCATTAGCTCCTGTGGCCACACACCTGAGCCATTTTACAGGTGGGTAAGCCGAGGCTTGGAGAGTTGAGTCACTTGCTGGCTGCAGCTGCATCTCCTGCATCTTTCAAACCACTGTCCACTCCACTCCTCTGCACCCGTGGCACTCCGTTTCTGTGCCACAGCTCCCTGTGCTTGGGATCCCTGGCTCAGCAGCCACTGCCTTCAGCCCTATCTGCAGATAACTCAGCCTTGTCCTGCCTGCTCCTTAGCCACACTCCCCCTCTGTTCCCATGGTGACAGCTGCCCCTGGAGGTCTTTAGGGACACGTGGGGGTGTACTCTTGTGTCCTCTAAAGCAGTCTATCGTAGGGCACAGCCTGGCCCCTCCCACGATGTGAGAAACCTCTGTGTATCGACTTGCTCTGGAGAAACCGTTCCGATCCCGGCAGCTCTCAGGAAGCTGATAACCAGAGCAGCTGGGAAGCGGGGGCTGAGCCTGCTCCCCCAGGCAGCCCTGGGCAGCAGGCCGAGTCACTGCCAAGCCTCTAGTTCTTCCTCAGTGGCACTGGGTCTGTCATGTGCTGTGGCCACCACACCCTGCATCTGCAATCACCTGAAACCCAGCGGCAAAAGCCCCCTCGGGTCTCTCGGGAGATCGGGGTCTGTTCTGGGGAGAGGCTCAGGTTTGCTCAGGCTCCCTAGGCTGTAAGACTGGAGAACAGATATCTTTCCCCATGTGGGCCCCTCTTGTATTAAGGCAGTATTCAGGAAGGACCTACCAGATGCTCTATAAAGATTACTACCTCTGATCCTCACCAAAATTAAGTGTCATTAGTCCTATTTTACAGTTGAATAAACTGAGGTTAAGTGAAATGGAAGGGTGTGACACACTTGTGTCCCAGTTTCTCACACACAGCAGGCTCTGTCTCATCCCCAGGGCCTTTGCATGTGCTGCTGTCTGCTACACTCCTCTCCTGACCTTTGTCATCAAGCCACTCATACACATGCTTCAGCTCTGCTTGGATGTCACTTTTGGAGACACCCTTTCACGCCCAGCCCTCTCCTCTTCCATTGTTATCCTCTGTCACAGTCCCTGGGTTGTTCCGGTGTGCAATCATACACCCTTGTGGCATTGACCTCTTTTGTCCCATCCTCTAACCCAGAGAACATGTGCCCAGTGCGGGGCAGGCCAGACCGTGCATAAGGGTACATAAGCCTTTGCCATCATGGTGGGGGGCACCATGCCCATTGTGGCCGAGTGATGAATGAGTGGATGAACGTGTCAGCACCCCAGAGGCCTCCTGCTTCTGCCCTCCAGGTTTCAGCTGTTCAGAGGACAAGCTGGGGAACAACAGTTCCCCCTCACACTCCTGTTCCTACGTTCTGCCTGTTTAGAAAACTGCCGAGCGGCTCCGCAGCAGCTCACAAGCAGCTGCCCGAGCCTCCCGGGTAGCCCTCCAGCCCGGGGCTGCCTGTTTCTGGGAAACCTTGCACAGTTCTGCTGCTTTCTAAAGGTCTGGGGCTCCAGGCCGGGGTGCCGCCTGCCCATCAGATGCTTGCTGCTGCTACGTGGTTTCGGGGTTTCTCATCCTTTGCCCTGCTGACATTCGGGCCAGGGGCATTCTTTGGGGGGGGGGCTCCCCCAGGCAAGCAGGACGTTTAGCAGCATCCCTGGATCTGCCCACCAGATCCTGTAGCATCTCCACATTTGCAGAGGGGGCCGCTTGTGTCTGGGCGAAGCCTCCTCTTCATCCTCCCGTAGAGCACACAAACACTCCTACCTTTCTAGGAGGAAACTGAGGCCCAGCCAGTCCTCGTGTGCGGAGCCTAAGGTCACACCGAGGCTTCGGAGGTCCCAGTTTGTTCCAGGACCCCACAGAGGACCCTACCATCACTCCGGGTCTCCCCAGATGTTTGATGCCTCTGAGCCCCGTGCTCCGGGATTCCTCTGCACCCTGCCTCTCGTGACCTCTGTCAGGTCTCTGAACTAGACCCCCACCCAACTAGGAAAGAGAAAACCCCCCCAAACAGATCTCTTATTTGCACCTGGGGGGCCATGGCGTTCAACAGGAAGTCGGCAGCTGCCCCCACACAGCTCAACCTGCGAAGAGCTGGTTTCCCGAAAAACCACAAGAGACACGCTGTGCCTGCCAGCGCCCCGTACCCAACCCTGCCAATCACCCAGCCTTGGACCCCCTACTGTGCACCCCCTCAGCAATCCCCCTCCCTTACCTAAACTCCCCTATAAAAACGCCCTCACCCCTTGCTCAGGGCCAGTGGTCTTTTCACCCTTGACCTGATCGCACCCACTTGGCACCCGATCGCAGGTTACTTAACTTCGCCTGCCTCAGTGGCTGCAAGGCCTCATTTAGCTTCACACCCTCCCCTGGCATCTGTACTCACTCTGTCCCACTGTGGACACCTCAGAGATGGCCGTCCACCAGGCTCAGGAAGGGACAAGGGGCAGGCTGGACTGCAGTGTGCATTTGTACCCGAGGTGCTGTCCCTACCCCTCCCCTGGCCACGCCCCGACCTGCTGGTCCTTCCTGGCAGGCCTTCAGCCACTGGCCAGCTCCAGGTCAGGGGCTGCGCCAAGGCTCTAACAAGATACCCACTCCGTAACGCAATCCTAGCAGGGCACGAGACTCCAGAGTCAGCACAGTTGGCCCGTGGGTGATGGCCTCAGGTCCCTGCTCCCTGGCCCCACAGGAGACAGGCTGCAAGAATCCAGCCCTCTCTGCTTGCCGGGTTTGCACCCTGCAGCCAGCTTCCTCTGGGAGTCGAGTTGAGCCCATCTTCCACGGCCAGCTCTGCAAACCAGACCAAGACCCAGCATCCGATCCTCATGGCAAAGAGAACCCCAGAATGTCTGAGATCCGAGGGTCACCAAGTCCACTCCTTTTGGGCTAATAACCCAAGTGAGGCCTGCAAGACTAGTGAGACAATCGAGTCACACATGAAGTTAGCCGGGATTAGTACCCAAGGGGCCGACTTCAAGGCCAGTGCTCTTTGCCCAGGAGAAGACAAGAGCTGGAATCTCTAAGGCTCAGCTGCGTCTTCCTCTTCTGGCCCACACTGTCCCGTGCTGGGGAGGGCATTTCAAAGATAAGGCTGCAGGGCGCTGGCTACATTTCCAAGGTTCCTGTGTGTGGCTGGGTCCAGGCTGGGGTGGGTGCAGGCAGGATGTGTAACCAGCTGAGCAATGTAGGAGCTGGGAATCTCCCAGGGGAAGTGACCTTCACGGGCAGCCTGCTGCTCCCTGCACACCCTCCAGGGCTTTCTCCTGATCTCCAAGGCACTGGGGCCAGTTATGGGGCAGGGTGGGGAGGGTTGCCAAGCACCGATGAGAACTAGTTTTCACTGTTGCTTATACTCAACCCATGCTACGTGCGCATACCTCTCCCTCTCCTTCCAACAGTCCTCAGGGATCTTAGCCTCAGGGTGGCCTGGGAACCCAGGAAAGGGTCCTTTACATCACCGAGTAGAGACCCCACACTGCATCTCTAGCTTGGAAACGGACCTCACACAGAGCTCTGGGGTGGATGGCAATGCACATATCCCTTTCTAATCCTTGGATTCCGTGTGCCATACCTGCTATGACAAGGACAACTTTGCAGATGTGATTATGTTCATGGGTTATCTGGGTGGGTCTCCATAGTCTCACAGGTTCTTGGAAGAAAAAAGACAGAGGAGATGGAGTCAGGACATAATGATGAAGGCTCAGGGGACCAGCTCAGGGGATTATGGCGGTGTTACACAGAAACGACTTTAAGTGAGCCCTGCTCCCATGCCACCCGTCAGCCCAGGTCACCGGTAGGAATGTGCAGCTGGGCTTCATGCTCCAGAGGGCAGACTTGTGGCACAGATAAAACTCGGTGCCATAGTTGATGTTTGTGTGGCATCAGTGAGACACTGGCTTTAAGTGCTTTACACATAGAAACTCATGAGGTGACTTCAGTGGCTGGTGACCTGGGTTTGGGCATGCCCACTTCACAGAAGAGGGAATGAGGCTCAGGGTCCCAACCCACACCCAGAGTAGGGCTCAGCTGGGTTCCCCTCAACTCTGTATGTTGAAGGGTGTGGCTTTAGTGGTAAATAGAGTCTTTGCAGGTGCATTAGGTAAGTCAAGGTCTCTCCAGAGCAGGGTCAGTTCTATATTAATCATTTTCCATCACCGGGACAAAAAATCCCTGACATCCACAGCTGAAAGAGGGAGAGATTAATTTTGGCTCATGGTTTCAGAGGATGTAGTCCATGTTGTTGGTTCCAAAGCAGAAGCATCATGGCAGAAGCACGTGATGGCTCAACTTACGGCAGGCAGCGAGGGAGCAGGGGTTATGGTTCCCTTAGTCTCTGAAAAAGTTTAGACTCTCTCTGAAAGATCTGACAGTTGAGGGACATGCTTGAACCCATGTGCTAGGGCTGTGGTTTCCTCCCTGAGGATACACCAGCCCACACAGCAGGAAAGTGACAATGGGTCTCAGGCCACCCACTTGAAGGTGCAGGAGGAGGGATGTGAGCCGTGGCTGCAGACCTCTAAAGGCTCAGGAATGGCTCAACCTCTGCACCCAGCTGGGTCACTACAGATTTCTCCTGAGCTGTCTGTGAGGTTCAAGAGTCGAGGACATGTGTCACTGTCACATTCATCTCTCTGCACCCGGAGGGGCCAGGCTGCAGAAGCAGGGGCAGCACAGGCTCCCAGACACCGTAGCTGCTGGGCAGGTACTAAATAAGCTTAGCAGGAGGAGCTGCAGGGGCTGACCTCTGTCCCAAGTGTGGATTTATCACACTGAGTGAGGTGGCAGGCGGCACAGGGCTGGGAGCTGCTGCAATGGGTGTCCTTGGGCACATCAGGGAGGCAGGAGAGGCCGCTCCCCACAGCCTGGTGGCCTTGGCAACCTGGCATGGGACTCATTTTGGCAGGAACAAAGGAGTCCTGACAGTGCTGGGAGAGCCCATCCCCTGATGAGCCCTATGGAGGAGGAACAGGGTCACGGAACTGGCTCTGACGAATGTCCTGGGAGTGGGTATCAGAGGGCCCAGGTTGCAGCTCCTTGTCCACCGTGGATTGCCGAGCAGCCATCAGCGAGTTGCTTTCTCTTTAGGCCTCAGTTTCTCCATCTGTAAATTACAGTACTTTGTGCAGGTGCAGCTGAAATGTCACAAAACTGGACTGCTTATGTGACAATAACGCAAGCGCCAGGAGCACGTATGAACACGGCTGTCGGCTGTCCAGAGACTCTGACTTCTGACTGTGGCACTGTGTCGCACAGGATCGGAGGCTGGGGCTGGAGTCGCTGTATGCTAGACACTCAGTAAACATTTGCAGGAGGTCTGGGTGAACCTGTGTGTCCAACCTATGGGCTACTCCGGTAGACGTCCCGATAGGTCCAGGAAGTTAGAGATTGACATTTCAAAAACAATCAACTTTCCCTCATTTGTAAATCCGGACCCCTTCAATAAGCTAAACATTTTCATGCTTATCAAACAGTGCTAGTTTGTGTGAGTTTCATTAAGAGACCTCCAAGGTCAGATCTGCATTCTTGAAGGAACAAAAATCATTTACTCTAGAGCTGCTGACATTTCTGCAGGCTCCTGTGGTATAGAGCTGAGGGCACATCTGTGACAAGGCCAGGTCCACTGCCACCCCAGACAAGGCGCACTCCGGGAAGCTTAGTGTTCACCTTAGGGCACTGTCTCAGCTCCATGGTGCTGACATTCTGGGCTGGAAACTTCTAGGTAAGGTGCCTAGAATTGTCCTGGGCATGGTGGGATGTTTAGCAGCATCCTGAGCTGTACCACCTAGATGCCTTTGGCACCCACTTTGCAAATTTTAACAACCCCAAATTTCTCTAGGCAAGTGTCAGGAGGGGACCAAATTGCCCCCACCACGAACACCTGATCCAAACACGCCTGCAGCTTTTCACACAGGACCAGGTTAGCCCCACAGCCTGGCTTCTGCCCAGACTTGATATTATTTTCCCTCTGTTTCCACAGGTCGGAGCCTCTGAGCCAAGTCCAGGCCAGGCAGGCAGCCAGGCTGGGAGAGGACGGGGCTCTGGGTGGCCAGCAGGTGGCAGAGGACAGCTGTCATGGCCTCGTAGGTACTGCTCTTGCTGCTGCTTTTGCTGCTTTGAGTCTGCAGAGGATGCTGAACTGAGACAGGCCTTAGCGCTAGGTTTTCACACTGGCCAGAAGCTGTGGTATCTACTACAGTGACACTGGGGATAGCTCTGAATGTCCTAGAACTCAAGGACAGCCCCTCATGGCAAAGAATAATCCAACCCAAAATGTAGTCATGCCAAGATTGGGAAATCCTAGCTTGTGGAGGGACAGGGGAACATATCACTGTCCTGGCTTCCACTGTGGCCACGTCTTGTGGCTCCAGGACGGGAGCAAAGCCTCTGGTTTAGGTTGGGAAGTGTCTGTGCGCCATATTCTACATAGGATGCTTTATAAGGACTGGCTGGCTTTTGCAAAAAAAGGCTGCACTGTCTTCCATGCTATTTCCCATCATCTGTGTGACTGTCCAGGCACGGGAGGCAGGACCACTCGGACACAGTGACATTCCCTGGTCAGTCAGCAGCCCTGCCGGCTCGCTCTGCACTTTGCATGTCTGCTCACCTTGCAGAGTGACCTAGGCCTCCTCCTCCAAGGCCTGGGTCACCCTTCGCCCCTCTGGAAAACTTTCCCACCTCCCAGCCCAGCCCTAGGCAGGCCTCCTGTTAGGATTTAGAAATAGACATTTCTCATTTGGGAGAGTCGACTGGGGTCCGGGGTTCCACTGGGCGTTGTGTGTATCTCCCGCTTTTGAGACCGCATCATGGTCCTCAAATGCTGGGGCCTGCGGTCCCACTTTATAGGTGCAGAAACAGATGACCACACACACACGTGGGCAGGCAACAAGCCTGAGGGTGACCTCTTTGAACGTCTCTTTTATTGACATGGATCTGTTTTATAGCCTGGATTAAAAGGTCAAGAATTGGGATAGGAGATGACATCATGAATAAAATGAATGAAATAAAATTCCCTTGCATTTTTATTTGGCTGAATGTCATTGAAGTTGGCACATGTGTCCCTCCATGCCCCTGCCCTCCTGCCCTCTCCCAATGCCACTCAGCTCTCATCTTTCCCCAAGGCTGAACTGTCAAATGCTTGCGGTGTCTTTGGGGTAATCAATACTGCTGTCCCCCCCAGCCTGCTGCTCAGGGTGGCATCACAGACCCAGTCCATTTTCTGCTGAGACCGAGTCCACTCTGCAGGTCTGTTCTTCCCAGGGTCAAGTCACATGCGAGGCGCATTCTGCATTTCAAAATTTGGTACCTGAAGTTAATTGTACTGTAGCATAGGAGATGTTTTAATCACTCAGTGCAGCCAACAAAGCAAATCCTTTGTACAAAGAACTAAAAAATTACCCAAGACACAATCCCAAAATGGGTGCGTATCATGAATAGACACTTCGTGTAAGAAGCAGTTACAAATGGTCAGTGAACAGAAGAA